GCCTCCTACTGTGTGGTATTTTGTAGTTTGATTCTAAGGTGAAACAGTAATTGCTATGTACAGTAGTACAAACTGTGCTACCACAAAAGTATTTAAAAAACTGGATTCTTCTTAAATATTTAGGGGCTGTTGCATTAAATAGAATTCTGAATTACTGATAAAAATACGCTGCTAGAAGACTCATTTTTTGAGAACTTTGGCTAAATGGAAAAATAATATACAATTAAGACTTGCAGCTTGTATCATCACTGGAATGGCCCTGCCAAAGTCATTGACCAAGAGATCACAACTTATGTTACACATTTAGCAAAAGACTAAGATTTTTACATACTTCTCAACTGTTACTAATCAAAGGACAAAACCCATTTGAGTATTTTAAAAGGACTTCTATATGATGGGCTACAAATTATTTTTCCTCTCAAGAACATTTATTACTTATAATAAATACAAGCTACCTGTAGAAACAAAAGATGTTACCCATTTTTAGCTGCAAAAATTCATAATCATTTGTACTGTTTCTGTAAACTGTTCTCCTTGGTGTTGTATCTAGGACACTAAACTGGCAATATTACTTTTCCTTTGTGAAAGAAAATGCATGCTTTAAAAATAAATTAATGTTTCTAAATACAGGCCTTTGCAGAAGGCATCTAGCTTTACATTCACCACTGTATAACCTTTGAAAACTACTACCTAGCTACAGATTGCTAAGTGCTTGCATATTTCAAGTACCTTTGCCCAAAGACTTTTTACTTTCAATATACCCATGAGGTATGTATGAACACTGCTCTCCTGCCCACACAAACTGTCCCTCAAATGCTCAGCATTGATTTTCTGGCATCTCAAATTCCTCTAAGTATTGCAAGACACGGCAAAAAGGGCAACACACATAACAACTCGAAAAACATGACTCTTAAGTAACTACCTTCATTTTCTTAGTGCTTATTGATTCAAAGTGTGCAACTTCAAAACCAGCTCTTTTAGGAACCTTCAGGAACAGAGACTGAAAAATGCATTAACTGTGCATGTCCACACTAAAAACATCTAAAGAAAGTTTTTATACAGTTGCTTTAGAGCCATCAGACACAATCAAGTACTTCATCTGATTTACCGAAGTCATACAAACTGGTTTGTACGACAAACTGGATCTGCTCTGACAGGTGCAGGACAGGTCATTCCACTAGTCTCCAGCACTAAAAGGACAAAAGTTCAACATCTCTCTGCTAAAGTTAAGCTTCTGGATTTCTCAAGGAGAACAACCTAAGACTTCCTGAAGTCTTGGTTCCATGTAGGTAAAAACAAAGTAAGGAGACTATCCAACTTTGTTACACTGAAGTATCAGCTACCAAAGAAGAAATTTGAAAAATACACCGAGAAGCTATTTAGTCTCTCTTGGAAAGGAGTTCCAAAGGCAATCTTGTCTAGACAAAACGACAGCATGAAGAAATTCACAGTCAAAGCTTGGATTCATCTCTCTGATGTGACAGCCACTCATGAGGAGGTGAGCACTAAACAGATTGTCTTCATTCAAACACTGGTCCTTGCAGAAATGCAGAATATGTTCAGATTCTACTGAGCAGCAACACTGCTTACTGCTTAGTAGGTTTTATTTAGAAGAAAGAACTTGCAGTTTGACAACTGAGAAAAGACAAGGCGACAATCTCCTGCCAGATGGAGCACTGAAATAACATTTTACGTTTCCTTAAGTGTGTTCTTAGACTAAGTTGAGATTTACCACTGCATTTCAGTTTCAGTACACATAAACGGTGAGATTTTTCTGCAAAACCAGACTGAGAACTTAATCTCCTTTTCTAAGCAGATCTTGCAGGAGGAATTCTGTGCTCAGTGAGAATGCCCCTGAAAAAAGAAAGAGGTGGGCAATTCTGCTTTCAGTGAGTCATCTAAGCTTCCATTAGAACATGGCAGGTGTGCAAGCCCTGTTTAAGCAAGCTACTTACACTCCAAGCAGATCTGGTAAGAGGTCACCTTAAGAAGAAAATACTTCCACTGACCTCCACATTAGGATCAGTAAGTCTGCCAGGCATTTGAAAACTACCCCAGCTTGCATTCCATGCTTGTGGAATCAAAGTGCATGCAGTCACTGTTGCTAGAAGCAGGACATCTAGGAGAGAAATCCTTGTCTGGAGGAAGTTCAGCACAGGGGATAGCTACTCCCCCCTCCGACCCAAATCCCAAGACACAAAATTGAGATTTTAAGATACTTAAGATTATTTAACACCTTAAAAAACGAAATCAACATTTTTTATTAGTTTAAGTTCATGTGAAATACATACTTCACCAGATCTATCCTGTTGTTGATTGCAGCCCAGTGGAGTAGCGTTACGTTTTCTTTGTCTGGTTGTCGCACATCATAACCAGCTTCCACCAGTTCTCTACATCGTTCATATATTCCATACCTTGAAGAGTAAAGTAAGATCTGTCAAATCTCTTACCTTAGATAAAAATGCATTCAGCAAACACCAAACCTTTGGTTATAATACAAAATCTTCAAGAAGAGAAATGAAGAAGAAACTTTACTTTCTGTTTCTATATGATTACAGATCTCTTGCAACAAGAAGCTTCTACTGCAGCAAAGTTACATTAATCAATTCAAGATTTCACAGAAAACAGTCTCCACAGCAACCTATACTGCAGAGCAAGGCAAAACACCTATCAGTAGTATTCCAAATTTAAATAACTCTTCTCTTTCCATAGATGTTTGTTTTTCCCACCTCTTCTCCCTCTTTTCCAGCTCCTGAAGACCAAAAAAGCTTAGCAAACTGATTTGACAGTATCTTCCTAAAATTCAGATGATATTTAGTGGCAGTAAAAGCAATGCAGGAAAGCAAGTAAAGATTACATTTCCGAATCTGTACAACCAATAGGGATTTCTCAAGTCTCAAGGAGAAGACTAACATGTGGGCACGTTCTACTTTTTGCAGAAGAGACAGCCTTAGACAAGGCCCTTCTGCTCCACTTGATCAGCCTGCCTAACTGGTGCAGAGACTTTTTTACCAGGGTAGTTACCATTCTGACTTTCATATATCTGAATGAAACCTCAAACTGTCTAGCACTCTCACAATGAAACCTCAAATTACTCAAGCCAACAAAACTCAGGAATGCTTTCCAAGCCTATCACAGGTTTGAAGCACAAAAATTTGCTGGACACAATTAAAAAGAAGTACTAGACATAACAGCCTCATTAGACCATGTTGTTTTCAACTTCTTAGGCAAGCTGCACAAGAAATGAAGAAAAATGCTGGAAATTACTGTCCTACCTATTATCTTTCCAAGCATTACAAGAATCCAGAACAAAGACATGCATGCAGTACATACCAACTGGCAACATGCCTGTAAAATATTGTCCCTCAGACTGAGTGAAGAAGCAGCAGTCATGAATAATTTTGACAACAAAGCTTTGTTTTTAATCAGTTGGGGATGGAGGTGGTAGAGAGATGATGCTTCATTTACAATAACTTCAAAATATGCAACTGGCTAGACAAGATACACATACTCAGACACATATAACAAACAGGAAAACTGATAGGGTTCTAAGATAGAGTGCCTCAAGATCAGCCTATCTCCCAAGTCAAAGTCTAGGCCAGCAGTGTGGCCTGACAAATGCTTGTACAAACAATTTAACTCAGTCATACCATTCCTGACTTCCCACTGCAACCAGAAGGGCCACTGAAACAGGTCAGGACTCCTAACGGCAGGTCAGCCAAGAACAAGGAGTGAAAAGAGACAGGAGAAGAGATGGGGGAAAGAAGGCCTTCTGAAAGCAGGACAGCAAATACTGATCTTACTGCAGTACAGCATCACACCAACATACTGCAGCATATGAAGGTAACCTGGAAAGTGATTCATAGAGAATGGAAAAATAGCCTTTTGTTGACAAGCTGCTCTACTCCAGTCAGCTATGACACCCCTCCCTAGCGCAGACAAGCCTGCTGCCTTCACTTAAACTACCAAGTGAAACCATAATGTAAGAAATTATTCACCTACAGCCCCGGTGTTAGTCACCAGCTAAAAAAAATTGTATTGCCTTAGGCTGAATTTAAGTGATTCTCATCCTGCTTAAATAAGTTGTACTACACAACAAGTAGGAAGTATATTAACAAAATATTCTGAGTTACTGGAAATATACAAAGAACACAAGGATACAATAATGCTAACTTCCTGTAAAGAGTAAGAGGCAATCACGCAAAGCTTTCATGCAATGGATTAGGATTTTCCTTACATGTACTAGTTTTGGCTGGGATCAAGTTAATCTTCTTCACAGTGACTCCTATGAGGCTATGTTTAGCATTTGTGAGCAAAACAGTGTTGAATAACACACCAATATTTCCACTATTGCAAAACAGTGCTTACATAGCATCAAAGCAAAGTGTTTCTCATGCTCCTCTGGCAGCAAGGAGGCTGGGGGTGCACGAGAAGTTGGGAGGGCACACAGCTGGGACAGCTGACCCCAACTGACCAAACAGATATTCAGTGTTACATGGCACTGTGGCTCAGCAATAAAAGCTGGGGGCAGAAGAGGGGATAATTAGGAGTGAAGGTGCTTGTATTCCCAAGTAACCATTACATGTGACAGGGACAGCTGAACACTTGCCTGTCTCTGGGAATCAGTGAATGAATTACTTGTTTTGCTTTGCTTGCGTGTGCAGCTTTTGCTTTATCTGTTAGGCTTTGTCTACCTCCACCCAGTTGTTCTCACTTTTACCCTTTCGATTCATTTTGCCATCCCAGCAGAGGGGACCAAGTGAGCAGATGCATGGTGCTCAACTGCCTACAAGGGTTAAACCACTATATTGCTACTGGCAGCTAAGGTAAACTAGTTTAAGTTGATTTAAATCTTAAACCATTTATATATGGTTTAATATGAGTGTCCTATCAAGTTAACTACACACACAAAATGAACCTCCTTGAGAGCAACCCTGGAGTCCTAGCCAAGGTGTCACTGGATCATGCTGCCAAGATAGGGATAACCAAGCAGCCCTGTGATAGTGTTAGACGGGGGAGCAGGGGGTGCAGGGCCGAGGGGTGTTTGTTCCTTGGAGTATTTTGGGGAGGGAAGTGGGGTAAGAGGGGAGTGTTGGGTTATTTTACAGAAAACTGCAGAACTTGGCCCTAAGTGACATGAAAATAAAGGAGAGCTGAGGCAAGCATGTGACTCAACCCTACACCCTGTTGAGACAGAATGCTGTTGCCAGTGCCTCTTTGGAAGCCCTGATAGAATGCTCTAACTATGCTCCACTGATGTTTACAAGTACAACGCTCTAGGATTATCCCATACACTGCTATGTGCAAAGACTACTGTGTGGGTTCAGACACAACAAGGAGAAGTAGGAATGGATTCCTTCTTCAGGCTTAGTGTCATAGACTTTCCCTTCTCCCCACTGGAAGGCAAACTACAAGTCACAGGTACTTGGTACTACTTAGCCAGAAAACAAAACATGAAGTTCTGAAATACATCAGAAGAGCCTTCTCAGGAAAACAAAAGTCTTTCCAAAAGTTACACTGACAATCAGGTATATAGCAATATTTTTATTAAAGCCACCATCAGATTTTTCCTGGCAATATGCCTTGGTATCATGAACTCGGTCGTAACTGATTACGAAAGATGTAACGTACAAGGTATAATTTAATGACTCTTCAATTTCTTAAATTGTAACAGGAGGACTTAGGGATCTAGACAGACCAAATCTGCCTCTTGAAAAACATTAGGAACTTACAACAATTTGCTCCTCCTCCTGGAAACAGCAGGCTCTCTAGAATTAAATAAAACACTGAATCTGGTACAGTTACGGTTTCTTGAGCTCTGTCCTAGAAATACAGCACTGTTCTCTCACATACAACCTACAGTCTTCTTCCACCAATTTTCTGCAGCTGACCTCATCTTGCCTTCTCCAAAGGTTCATGACACACTGCTAGATGACAAAATGAGAAAGTTGCCTATTTTCAGCACTCAGCATTATCATGCTTGTAATGTTGTTATAAAGGGCTCTATGCCCTTCAAGAAAGGGGAATGGAGGGAAAGATTCAAATCCTCACAAGAGACTGATGTACAAATCTAACAAATTCACCGCATCTGAATGAGGGTGATGCTGTAAACATTGATATGGAGCATAATTAAAGAATACTCTTGGACTTCTCAGAACAAGGCAAGCTCTTCTTTTTTTCCTGAAATGTGACTGGTCCCTACAGAGCAAAAATACCATTTTAAAGTTCATTTTGCTACCACAGTCTCTAAGCTATTCGGGTAACTAACCTGCAAATTTTATGTGTCACGGCAGGTTAAAGATATTCTGAACTTCATACTTGGAAAAACAGTACCCTATTGTCTTTTGCATTTTAAATATCCAATCCACTTTCTACTCTTCTTTCTACAAACACACAGATGCTTGAAAATAGTCACTGCCAGCTTTACTGCATGATTAACATTAAATCTGGTCACAATAATAGGAAAGAACCTCTCTACAGCAAGCACATCACCATGCCAACAAAGTAGTAGGTAACCCAGGAGCTCACTCCACCTTGCTATCATTGTAACTCAAATCAAAGCTGTTTTAACTGCAAATGCAATTAATAGAAAAATGAACTTTTTCACCTTTTGAAATCTCATTCCCATGAATGACGGTGGTTAAATACTAACAAAGCCTTTAACACATTCTCAACGTTTTTTGTGTTAAACAGTAAAAGTTGGGTTTTTTCAACAGAAAAGGTGTAACTCAAGATCTGCCTAATGAGCCATTAACAGTGATGTTGAAAGACAAGAGAAGTTCAGCTCTTATATATGTTCCAAAGCCTTAAATTGTCTAGACAGTTGTGGCTATATTAATAGCATGGTTATAGTCTCACTCTTCCACGTGGACTTCAGGTACATTTCACTTGCAGCAATATAATCAAACCCCATGGGCACAAATGACCAGGCATAATGGATGTGTGCCTGTGTCAGTCTGCCCACCCTCTCATGTGAGTAGATGAAAAAAGCCAGGATTAAGTGTCACTTTGGCTGACCCTTACCAATTTGAATTATTCCATATATATGCTGGGGTTTTTTTACCAGTTACTCTATGACTGATGAGAAATAGTGATGAAAAAAGCATGTTCTCAAATGCATCCAATTTTTTTTTCCTCAGCAAGATTTAGCATATTTCACATTTTATGCTGCACTACTTCACAATGCATATGACTTCATTTTGAATGATCTCAGTGAATAAATCTAACAGAAAAGTTAATCTTGCGATAATGAAATTGTAACACTGGAGCAGAGGGAATCAATCTTCCAGAAGTCACAAAAGCACTTGTTAATATCATTAATGTTTAAAACCATGTTCATAATGATTATTTAACACACTTTCAGCAAAGCTGGAATTTGCTCAAGCTCACTACAAGCCAAAGGTGCCTATTCATTCTCAACAGAAGTGAAGATCACAATGCAAGGATTAATGTGACTCAAGATTTTGATCTTCTAGTGACAACCCATCATATACTTCTTCTATATGTGAACATGAGCTGCTTTTCCTCAGTTCATGGCTTAGAAGATTTAAAACAAAGCAGAGGCAGCAACTCTAAGTTATGTTAACACAGCACCCTTCCCAAGACATCATATAAAACATTACAACTCCTGCCTTGGATGACAGAGGTCTATTGCTGCCACCAGAAGAGATAGAAATATACACACCCAACATATCTCCCTAAAATTTTACTTTTAAATTACTTAGGATTTTTTTCTTTTAATAAGGCTCCATTCCCTTGGAACTCCAGTGAAAACACTGAATGTCACAGAGGAACAGAACCAAAGGCAAGCATGGATGATTTTCTTACCTTCCACTTAAGGCAAATAAAAGGATACATTTTAGTGTTTCTAATTAATACAGACACAGACAAATCTAACACTCAAAACCAGACTTACTGTGTGGCTTTGACTATGTCCCAAGTGCTGTAATCATCCATGTGGCTTTTCCGTCCAAGAGATTCACTATATCCATGGTTGTAATGGCTTTGAGGTTTTATTTCCTAAAAAAGACAAACTTGCCTTTAGAACACCTTCAATTAGCAAGTTTATGAGATTTTTAAAAAAGTAGTTCTATAAGCTAAACTAAAACCAGTACCCAGTTCAATGTATTACAAAGCCAACTAAACATGAGGGGGGTGCATTTCTACATTTCGGAGAGCAGACAACATATTCCCCAGTACAGATTTCAAAACAACTTGCAATAGCAAGAGTTCTGCCAAATCCTAGACTACGGTATTTTTATAGAATGTTAACAAAAAGTACAGTGATTTTCTTGGGTTGGTTTGGGGGTTTTTTTGGCTTTCTTTTACTTAGCTTTTATAAAAGCAACATAGCATTGCTTAAAAAGCTATTTGCCATAAACTGACAAAGTCTCACTCTGTTACTACAAATGGATGTTGTATTTCAAATAGCATAGTCAAATATCTTCTAGAAAATAAATAACTGGGAATGATTAATACCATTGACTAAAACTTACTGATACTTCATTGATTCTCAACTTCAGTCTGAGCTTCAGAGGTTATCTGTGTATGTTTAACCTACAGGTCTCAGAAATAAATGGCATGACTATTCCATGTTCTTCGCCAGATAGAGCTCCCTGACTTAATTCTGCTGATGAAGGGCAACACTTCAATGCTCACTGCTTCCCTTGCTGGAATCTACATTCAAACACTGTGTTGACAGATCACTAGGGCAGCAACACACCATTTTTCTTTACAAGCTGCCTGCATGTGAAAGCTCAGCAAGCTGAAACTGAGCGATGAATTCTGTACAGCTTCTGGACAATTTTCTATTTGCTACACATACCATAGCTGATTGCCTCTGTGCATCAGCCCTGCGATTCAGCACAGCTACATTGAAAAATGCGAAAACTGCAATGCATGTGAAAAAGGAAAAAAATAGTAGCAAGCTCTCTGAAAGGTCTAAAAATGCATTTCAATTGACTTCACTAAAATGTATTATTTACTTTCAGTCAGTTTTCCCCAACATATGTTTCCAGGAGCAGAACTTTATTCTGTAATCTAAACCTGGAAACACTTCTCACCTTATGAAAGACGTTTAAGTAAATTATACCTCCATTTAGTTACTGAAATAAGTGATCAGCTTTTTCATTATTATACTGATATTTAATTAATTATTTTTTTAAATAAAGATAAATGAGTTAGGACAATCACCAAATAATGCACCTAACCTTTATGAGGATTCACAGTCACAAATCCCCACCATCACCTCTCTCAAGAGGCATATGTTGCCCCGTTAGCTGAAGGGACCAAGATATATTAGGGCAGGGAGATTGGCTACTGCCCAGACGAACAGACTCACTATTTCTCATGTTCTGTCAGCTGTGCAGAAATTTCTGCAGAAGGAGCTGTTGGTCACAATGAGAAATAACATCTTACTGGGCCCAGTTGTGGTAGTCAGCCAAAGCGTTTTCTTGCTTCCTCCAACATCACTAACCAGCTCTCCACTGCCTGGATGGGAGGCTAAGTACTGAGCTTGTGTGCAGACAAGTGAACTGCCCTCTGACTCTCTTCATCTGGACATTACTCACCTTGGCTGTATAAACACAACAACTTCACTGTAACTGGCTGTTAGCAATCAAATCAGTCATTACAAATTTTCTCACTAAAGTTATTTTAAAGAGATTTCTGCTCTAAAATTATTACTTATCTCTCTATCTATCCCTTTTACTAGAGAGGTAAAAAAAAAAAAAAAGAAGATTCAAATCTGAAAACCACATTTTAAATAACTCCAGATTCCAACATCCTGAAGTTCCACTTAGGCAGTATACCAGTTATAACCACAGAGCAAACCATCAAGAAGTTATTCTAGTTACAAATCGGAAAAGTCTCAGTATTAATTTAAAAACCAAGTCAACTTCGGTTGAGCATGTTTCTATTTACTACATATACCTATTTCAGACAGGAGGGAAAAAAAAAAAATCAAATAAGAAAAATTCTAATGCATTAACTACACTTTGTAGTACTAAATTACACCAAATTAATATAACAATTCATACAGTTGGAAAACTCATGAAATATCAGACACAAAACTTCTTTAAGAAATTGAAGCATTTAGAGCTGGTTTTAAAACCCGAGCACAGTAACAGTGAACTAGTGCAGCAAAAGTCTTCATTTTCAAAATTGATTTATTCTTATTTATGACTTTTCTTCAGAAAAACAAATTTTTCCATTTTACACACTACCTAAATGATCAGCAGATTATACATTTTATTGACCACATTGTTATTCTGTGGCATTTAATTCTTCTCTCCAACCCTGAAAAATCAGCTAGTTGAACCAATTAAGCATCGCCAGCCCAGCAGGAAGGCTGCTCTGTTGCCATCTCTACAAGAGAGACAACCTAAAAATGTAACAGGGCATCTGCCATCATCCAAATTGTGTGTTACAACCACTTCTCTTACAATTCAGAAACACAGAGCCACTTTGGACTTGAAGAAGGCAACAGCTTAACCAAAGTGCAGCAACATTTACATACCAAATTGCAATTGCTCAGACCCTGAAAAACTAGAGGATAAGTAGGCCAGAACAAAAAAAATTCACTGTCCTGGAGCATCTTGATGAGGAGACAGTAGTTCAGTGTATTCCTTAGCCTTCCACAGCTACTGGTAGGGGAAAAAAGTCTCTCTTCCTATCTAGCAATTATTAAACGCAAACTGCAAAACTTTGGCTATTTTTCAGGCAGGTATTACTTTAGCAGAGAACACTATTTCTCTTACACTGCATTTTCCCCAACCACTTCAAGCATACCAACCAGGTTTCTGTTCCCTTGAGCCTGCACTAGCCAGTCAAGAGAGTATTCACAAGCAATGTAAATCTACGTAAGCCTAGAGTAATGAGGAAATCACAGCCTCATGGAACTAACATTTTCACAAAAAGGTTTAAGGGACTACAACAAAACCTTAGGTATTAACTACTGTATGCAAATTTTAAAAAGTGAGAGATGATATGTTTCCCTTAGCTCCTCCTACAGTATATCCACTACTTTTCTAAGGACTTAAAGCTAATGACAACACCTTTAACTTCAGAAAATGCGCAATTTCTAAGTTCCTTTTGTACTGATAGTGTCTCTGAACTAACAAATTTCGGAGGTTTTGGTACACATTAAAGCAAAATAGCTGAAGTGATTAAAAAATTAGATTTGAGGTGATGGCAGGTGATGCCAGACACAGCACAAGTAAGTGAAAAACAGTCTCTCTCTCTTTCCCCTAGTATATACATGAGCAGCTACAATCCATTTGTTTAATTTAAAGACTCACTTATAAACTTAAGTGAACCCTACATTTCATGATTTACTTAGAGAGTTGAGTTCACATTTTACATCTAAGAACAGCTGAAACAATTCCTAAAGTCCTGAAAGATACATGAACATCTCAGGCTCATCAAACCACAGTATCTTCTACACCTCAGTGTGAATGGTCGAGAAAAAGACTGTCTTTAGATATGCCTGAAAAGAAGATACAAACACTGCTCAGTTTGAAAGCAAATCTTTTAGGACAAATCACAGGAAAGCACACAAAATGTGAATTCTCACACAATACAGTCAGTTCTCTGCAGCCTGGACACAGATTCCCAATCTTAGACTCAAACTTTATCGCTCAGTATCGTCTACGTAACTTGACAGTTGCACGCTGGCTCACAGTAGCATGCTGCCTACTACCAGTACCATTCTACTGGACACAACTCCTAACTGGCATTACAAGGTGTCTAATTTATGGCTGTGACCCACAGAGTAAATTTTAGGTTCCTAAGTCAAAAAGCCACCAGGAATCAAGAGAAAAGAGAACCTGGATTTTGTGAATCGCAGTAATATTTGATTCACCTGGTGATAGGTGATTTGGACCAAGTCAGTGCAAACAATGTTGTTACACAATATGCTTAGCTGCAATTAATTTGTCTCAATTACAGTAAGAGTGTATTTAAACCACAAAGTTTACAAAAAGGACTCAGCAATAGGACAACCCAACATTCAAAAGCAAAAAAGCTTAGCCTGAATATGCAAGTACTTCAACTCAGTTACTTAAAAAAAATTGTAGAGACACCACAATTCCTCATATATATATATATATACACACACATATATATACACACATATATATATATATATATTCCTGTATCTGCTTGCACATAGTCACCCATTATGAGCCATGTAAAAGACATGGCTTAGAACAAAACCAAGCCAAAGCCTAAGAACTAGCAAACATTTCACCCTCTACCACATTCTTGGGCAGATTTTTTATTTTTACATGTTTAGCATAGCAATTTCAAAGACTGCTATTTAAAGGCTGGGAATATTTAACACAACCTCTTTCTTGACACAGTGTGACCAAATATAGTGGTTGCAACACCAGCACAACCATTAAACTGTGCCCTAACACATGCAGGCCTGTACCTAAGTCGGCAGCAAGACTGATTGCAGTGGTGCTACAGCAGGGGGGACTTTCAGCAGGTGCTAGTCATTATGAAGGAGCTAAACTGGAAAGAAATTCTAAGTACAACCTTCAGACAGCCTCTATATCTAAGCTTAACAGAAAATTAAAACAAAAACAGAGATTAAAAAAATAAAACCACAAAATAGCGATTACTTCCTCCAACCTGCTACACAGAAGAGAAACTCTACTTAAAATTCATACACTGATCTAGCTTACCTGCGGCCCACTATTAAAGGAACAGAAATAAGCATAAAAAAGTGAAAAATAATTATTTTAGGCATTTAAGTTCTCCCGTTAAATAATTAACCTCCTCTAAACTCATATGCCCTCATACAAATTCTAGGAAAACACTTAGAATTCTTGAAACTACCATGACTTTTCTTAAACATATGATATGACAGATTGATAATAAAGTAACAACATAACATTTTGAGCCTAGAACATATATCGTATTCACAAACGGCTTCAATGATATCCCCAAGTGTTAAAATATTTCCCTTTTATGATGAAAACATTTATTCCAGGAAAATTTAATTTTGCAATGA